AGCATGAAATCTCGGCTATTCGTGTTGTGGCAGGCGGCGCGCTGCTGGCCCTCGCTCGCGGCATGTTCGGCATCACCGTTGTCAGGGCTGACACGCTGGAGGCTATGCATCGAATTCAAGCGCCTGCTAACCGAATCATGGCAGCGACACCTTCTGGCGACCTCCTCGCTTGCTCCGACTTGCAGCAGCCGTTTGTGGCCGTTTACAGCTTGGAGCAGGTCGATGTGCATGCCAAGGCCTTGACTGATCGAGAGTATCAACAACAGTCACTGATTTCCGAGCCACATGTGGCAATGCTGGCTGCAGATGGCGCAAGCGGGGCGGGTGAGACTTTACCTGCATTTGCTGTTGGACGCGACGACCTTGGCTTTTACGACGCAGCGACGATGGCGCTTGTACACACTGTTGCGCTCAAGGAGCACCGGGCGAGTGCCCTGAACGTCAAAGCCGTCAGTTCCGACGGGTGGTTCATCATTGTTTGGTCCATGGCGCAGCCATTTCTCGTTCTCGACGCTGTGCAACGCAAGATGTACAAGGACGTCATCACATTCCGCGAGATTAAGAATACTGTGGTACCCCCGAGGATGTTGTTCTCTCCAACAAACGACGCATTTGTTGTGGTGGACTGCATGAGCTCCATGCATGTTGTGGCCCTGCCGACATGCAAGTTGGTGTGTAGCCACGGAGTCTGATGACGAGACTGCATGTCTATGGCAGCTGAAGCTCGACTCTGAAGGTGTCCTCACAGCGTGCGAGATGCTGAGAGGCCGTGACGGCCGTGTAGCTGTGCACAACGACCAGCGATGATGGTGGCGATGGTGCGGCTGTTCTTGCCACGTGCGACGGCAACACAATTGTCAAGTTGTGGAGATTGCAGCAAGAAGAGCACCCTTACGCGAGTATCAAGGTGCACAGCGGATATGCATCTTCTGTGTCACTGGTGTGGTTGCCAAAGCAGCAGTTGCTGGCGTCTTGTGCGCAAGAACAGCATCTCCTGTTGTGGAACCTGGCCGGTGAGCTTGTGCGAGCAACCAACCTCAAGCCTGCGTGGGCATTTCTGAAGTATGTTGTCGCTGAAGCTTATGGTGGCTTGCAGTTTCTCGACGCAAGCACGCTTGAACCCGTGTTTCGCGCATACGGGCATGACTTTGGTCTGGAAATCAATACGCGGAACAAACGTGTGCGAATGACGCCCGACGGGCGCTTCTTTGTTTCTTGGGCCATGGACGATGCCATCCTCGTGCATGACTTCTCGCATCTGACGTTGTGAGAGAGTTATGTGCGTGTGTGTGTGGGGAGGGGGGGGGGGGGTGGGGTGGGGAGAGCTGGGGTGCCTGGTGCCCTTGTCAAATTGTTTCAAATTGTTACTCTCTGCACTTGGCTGGTTGGTCTGTTGAGAACACGAGAACATGCCGTTGGTTCCCTCCATTTGTGTGTGTGTGTGTGTGTGTGTGTGTGTGTGTGTGTGTGTGTGTGTTTGTGTGTGTGTGTGTGTGTGTGTGTGTGTGTGTGTGTGTGTGTGTGTGTGTGTGTGTGTGTGTGCAATGGCTGTCCCTTTGATTGAATCCGTGCATCTATGAGTGGTTGTTGTGATGGAGGTGGCGTGACTGGCGAACGGTGACGCAGTTGGTTGGAAAGATGATGCTGGGTGACGCAACAACACAACAAAGGCTGAGCACAAGACATGAGCGCACACGCATACACGCACAGAAACATATGCAACTGCAACTGAAAGGGCGCAGGACGTGTTGTGCCAACAGTCAAAATACAGCAGAAGAAGGGGAAAGGCACAACAGGGTAATGGTCCGTGCGCAGGGTGAGGTGCCGTCAACAAGAGTTGAAATGTAGTTGAGATACGGCAAACAACATCGATATTGACCAGTTCAGCACACTGGGTCGATGACGAGCACATACTCCGCGTTGATGGGAGGAATGCAATATGTGGACAAGGATATCTTTCACAACAAGCAAGCACGCCTCCTGATGCTGGTCGTTGATGTTGCCGTTTGACGCAAGCAAGCCACCAGCCCACTGTACTGCAATCGCTGCGTGTGGAGCTGGGTGGATGGCAAGCATCAGGAGGCATCGTCGAGTGATCTGCTGGCTGGAACATTGTAGCTGGGGTCGTTGAATGCCTGTGAGGTCGCCTCCCGCACCACGAGTGCCAGAGAATGAATGTGCTTCGTGGAATGCAGCAGTCGTGGATGATGCCATTTCTGGCTGGCATGCTTCATCAGACAGCTGTGCTGGTGGTCCTTGGATTAATCGCGGATAGCGGATAGAGTGTCGCAGTCGCTGATGAGGGGCACTGTCTGTGTTTGCAACAAGAGGCGATGAGTCAGCATATGGATGGGCCAATTGCTCTGTGGTCGCTGCGTCGAGCAGGGGTGGATGGCAGGGATCGACGATGAGCACAGATGCACGTCCCTGCGCACAGGTCAAGCTTTTGCTGTTGTTGTTGTTGTTGTTGTTATCGGCCATTGCAACACCACCCATGCCACGTTGCCAATCCCTGTGGTTTGCTGAGGTCACGCACGTCACTTGCCGCTTCAGCGTGTCACATGACGGTGCGTTGTGTCGAAGAGGCGTCCTCATCATTGGCTGATGGGTGCTACTGCACCATATGTGCTCCATTCTCTGCTGCACTGGTGCAAGCACACCGTTCATGTCCACCATGCCCGTTGACTGAATTGAATCCCTCAGTGGGATGGATGGTGTTGATGTGTTGATGCGGAAGGGAAGGTGTCAACCTTGTGTCAACCAGAGCTGTGATCCTGCCCATCAACCGCCTCGCTCGTTTTCTCTTGCACAACACATGACCCCGCCACCACCGTGGTGCACCTGTCTGTGTCTGTGGCAAGAGCCATCAGTGACGCAAACGAGGAAGAAGGCGAACAAGAGCACAAATGGCGTCCACATTCATCCAAGCAAGCGGGCAACAGAGCGAGCAAGCGTTGGTGGGTGGCTTGTTGCGGCAGTGAAGAGTGTGCGACAGCACAACAATAACTGCTGTGGTGTATTGTGTATTGTTTTCGTTTTCTTTGTGCTGCAGGTCGGGAAAGTGCTTCCAAATCGGGTGGCAGGTGTTGCCAGAAACGCAAGGATTTTCCTTCTCTGTCAACATGGCAAGCAAAGAAGGAAACAAACAGCGTGGTGCGTTTTGTCAATGTGAGCGCCACTCTTTTCGCCAAAAAGAAGCAAAGGACAGAGGACAGCAAACGAGCACACTGCGTGGATGGTTTGGTTTGTGGATGCGATCACAAAGAAGGCCTTCCTCGCGTGCACGCAAGCAAGCCAGCAAGCAGCTCGTCGTCGTTGTGGTACAACAAGAGGGACAGCTGCTGTGCGTGTATTATTGATCTGTTGCACAAGCAGTGGCAGCCACTCCACGATGCAGTGGGCAATGGAACCGTGCTCTTTGTGTCGCACACATGGCGGTTCAAGAAGATGACACACGTGCTGGACGTGTTCAGCTTGCTGCTGCTTTGAGAGTTTGCACATGAAGAAGGAGCAGGCAGGCAAAGGCAACAAACAGCAAGTGTGTTTGTGTGTGTGTTTTGTGTGTGTGTGTGTGTGTGTGTGTGCGTAGAAAGACAGCGTGTATGCAATACACTCTACTCACTCCACTGACTGCTCCCACCCACCACAACCTTCCAATCCAATCCTACCACCTTTCCCACCACCCTGCTACCATCAGGAAGCATCTGCCACAAGAACCAACCCCCTCCCCGACTCCCATGCGAGCACCTGCTCAACGCTCGACCCCAAAGTACTCACAATGTAAGCCGGCTGCAGTCACGTCCCCGTTCATCACTTTTATTCCTCCTCCTCGATCACACGCATCACACACTCATGCACTCGCACACAAACGCACACATGGGACATTGCTGCCACCACCCGCAGTCAAACAGCATGGGCGACCGCAGGAGAGCAGACTGGGGATGAGCGTGGCTGAAGTGGGCGAGGAAGAGGACAAGGAGCTCGTGCACGAAGCAGAGGATATGGCAGAGAGGGTACATCCATCCACACCACACGCGACAGCGCCACCATAATGAACGCGGCACCACTCCTGCAACTACTATTTGGGAGCGGCATCAGGCCCATTGCCACCAGCATTGCCTGCGCCTGTACATGGGCCAGCAGCGCCAGCGTCTCTGATGCATGCCATGATGCCGACATTTGTCAACGACACCAATCATCACAAGCACATTGCCACCGCTGCAGCGGGATTGCAGAGCAGCCACCAAAATGTCAGGGTTGCCTGCAGCAACGATACAGCAACAGCAACAGCAACGACAGCAACGACGACACAGCTGCGATGGCAGCAGAAGCAGCGGCAGCAGTAGGGCTTGTCCACCCTTCCTTTCCGAACACCGGTGCCGTTACCTCATGT